GAAAGAAAGAAAGAAAGAAAGAAAGAAAGAAAGAAAGAAAGAAAGAAGGTTTTAGTGTATGGATGGAACATTCAGGGACTCCAGGGCTTCCAGCTTCTTAAAAAGTCTCTGTCCATGCCATAAAGGAGGTTATCTGCACTCACTTTTATAACTGCACTGGTCACTCCAAAGTTTCATTTTGGGGGAAAATAGGAATGGTAGAGTTTTCACCAATAAGATAAATACTGGTATGTGTTTGGTTTGGGCTGGTACATGAATCCCTATAGCAACTGTGACAGCAGCCTGGTAATGAAAATAGTTGTGCCCCGATATCTTGAAAGCGCTAATGAGAAGGGACACAACCCTCTGATTTGCTTGCAAAAAGCTGGCAGACAACTCCAACCAGCTGGTTTACTTGGACATGGCTTGTATTTAACTCTGAACCCAGGCAACTTTTTTTGATAGCTGTTCAAGTCAGCAGTTCAAGCTGTTCAAGTCTTCTTCATCAGAAGTTGCTGGTAAACTGGAGATGTGATGCCTCCAGTAGTCTTAGGGTACATATCAGTTTAATCCCCTGCCCCAATTTTTTCCAAAAAAGTGCTTATCAAAAACACTGAATTTATAACTCCCATTAATCTAACCCAGGAATTATCATGCAGGTTGATGAGAGTTGAATAGGGACCCAGTTCAAGTCTCTACTTAATAAGGAAGCTCATGGGGTCACTCTTTTGGCCGATTCTCCTTGCTCAGTCCAGTTTCCCACACAAAAATGATTTGAGAATAAAACAAGACGAAACACATGTATATGTCCTAATTCAAGTTAGGAAAGATGAGAAGGTTGTAAAATAAAACAAATGCTGGATAATGAAGGCTTTTCAATATCTTACCTAATGATGGTTCTCAAGAATATAATTTATTGATTTATTGATACAGAAAATTGGGTCCTGGTGATAGTCAGACCCTAGTGTTATAACTGACTTGTTTTAATGAGCCATATGAAAAGCTAGCTGGATATGGATGATAGAGTAAATACAGTTAATAAAGTAAAAAAAGCACAATTACAAACTCTTTGCAGTGATTCCAGGAAGACAAAATGGGAATGGTCTACCTAGGAGGAGACCTAAGCCCAATAGTTTCCTGAACAAATTTTTGAATGTCTCAAAATAATCAAATATGTTTTAATGGGAGAGTCACAACAACTAGCAGATGAGTCCAGTGTTATTGGACTGAGATCTTTCTCCACTGCATGTTTATTTCACCTAAAGGACAAATTTTAGGACAATGTCGATTTCTGTCTTTAAAAATGGCACATGCTATCAAAAAAGATGAACCAGGGATTGATGTCTCCAGCCCAACTGTGGAATCAAGAGCCATTTTACTCTATTTGTTCAAAAAAAAGGGCACTCTAAGGTGTGAGCAGAATAATCTTCCCAGAGGCAAATTAAAATGTCATTTAAAATTTATGTTTCCTAAAAAATGCCCTGGATTGATCACATCTTTTTGTTTTATCAGACAATAGTACAAATTAAAGTTTTTGAACCTTGGCAACTTTAAGATGTGTGAGCTTCATGACCACACATCTTAAAGTTGCTAAGATTAAGTGTTCTTAATCTTAGCAACTTTAAGTTTAAAAGAATATATCCTTGTCCATTAAAAAAAAAGGCACAAGTTCTAAGAGGAACATGGCAACTGTATTTTGTGATTGTTTTAGACAACGAATTCCCCACCCCACAACAGAGAAAGATGAGCTTTACACAGTCTTAAAGATCAGCAGAGTTCAACTGATGCAGAATTTGAATATCCTATACCAGGGATGCATCAGGGTTGTGTTTGACCTCGGGGGCTTGGGTGGCGTGATCAGGGTGTGTGTGTTGGTGGGGAGGTCCAAGCAGTCTGCCAGTGAAAATAGGCTCCCAAGCTCTGTTTTTGGCTGCAGTGACCTCCTGCAATCCTCTGCCAGTGAAAACGGAGCTTGGCAGGGCTGCACATGGCCTTTGCAAGCACCATTGGCGCTGGCAGAGATGCCATGGACATCTAAGCACCCCGTGGGACAGATCTGGCCCCCAGGCCTTGAGTTTGACACCCCTGCCCTATACAGTACTTAGATCAGCTTAGTCATTCACGTTTTAGGGATAAATATATCAGTAGTGTCCAAGAGGGAATTACTAGTTCTTGTTAACACCTACTTTGCAGATAAATTACCCCAAGTAAGAGCTATTTCCTTATTAGGTGGACAGTCAGTGTATTTGCACTAAAGTTACAACATATTTATGGAGTAGATTTGGGTGCCATGTTGATTGATACACACCCAAGAAAGTCAGAGCCGGCTTGCAACTGTTGTAGGGTTGTTATTGTATACTCTATGGGAATTGGTTTTGGGGAAGGATAATTGGTGCCGTTTCCTGACTTCTGGTTACTGCAGTAGTTAATTGCATTTTTTAAGAAAAAAAAATTGTCTATAGGCTGATTACAAAATCCTTTTCCTGTTACGGAAACTGGTGTTATTGTCCTTTCATGTATGAGATGATTGGAAATAGTTGAGAGATTCTTTCAGACTTGCTTGAAACTTCTTTTTATAGTCTGAGCAGGTATATCCCCTTTGGCAAGGGGGATACTCTTTTTTTACCTTTACATTTTTATATGAGCCTAGCAGTCATCCAGTAACATCATCAAAAGGGGTAGAATCTAACATTACCTGTTTGATTGTTAATCTTAGGGGTGCAATTATTTCAAGAACAAACATTGGTGCATTAAACCCATTGGAAGCTTAATATACTTAATACAAGAAGTATTGTATTAAGGAGAATATTTAGAAAGTTGTCACTGTTGTGGGTTGATTTTCATGCAATGCCATCAGTATATTTTTGGGAAATTGTAGGCTGGGCAGATTGGGCTTCAAGCAACTAAAAATTTCATTCCCCTTAAGCAAGTCTTCTGCAGATGTCTGATCTCATTTCCAAATGCTATTTGGATATAATCTACTGACAGTCTATCCAGTGATGGCTCAGTGGCAGAAGAAATGGATTTATTTTGTGCCTATCAGAACACTCAGTTTTCCAAAATGGGCTGATATCCTTCTGAAAATGTCTCCTAGAACTGTACAGAAGGGATTGTAAGGGTTAGGGGGTGAATAGCAAATCTAAAGAATCTCACCCTGCCCAGGAATAAACCTAATACAGGTTGTCCTCAACTTACGGCCACAACTGAGCCCAAAATTTATGTTGTTAAGTGAGAAATTTGTTAAGTGAGTTTTGCCCCATTTTACTTCTTTCCTTGCCACATTTGTAAAGTGAATCCCTGCAGTTGTTAAATTAGCAACACGGTTGTTAAATGAATCTGGTTTCCCCCTTGGCTTTGCTTGTCAGAAGGTGGCCAAAGGGGATAACATCACCCCGGGATGCAGCAACTATCATAAAAGTGAGTCAGTTGCCAAGCATCCAAATGTAAACCATGTGACCATGGGGATGTTACAATGGTCATAAGTACGAAAAATGGTCATGTCACTTTTCTCAATGTCGTTGTAACTTTGAATGGTCACTCAATGAACTGTTGTAAGTCGAGGACTACCTATACAATCCCCTAAATCCAAGCAGTTCCAGTAGCTTCCTGAGGATGGAAGATACTGGTCTGCAAACAATTGGTGACCAAATTGACCTTAAAGATCCCAGAGGAACACTGTGAAGAATCATCTTTTAGCTTTGAGCATTATAACATCCCTGCCAGTAGGGGGCCTCCATGTTAATTTCCCACGGGGATCCATCCCAACTTTGCCATGAAGGGGACTGACGACCAGCAGCTGCTGCACGTAGGGGGCTCAGGGCACATGGTAGTGCACTTGGACTGTGGGGTGCCTGAAAGATGCTGGATGCTGATAGCAAGCTTGATTTGTTGTTCATGGGAGCTTTACATCCAGGTCAAGGTAGAAGATGGGATTGGTGTCAGTTCTCCTACGATCATCACATTGGTGACTCTGTTCTTCTGCTTTCTTGAGTGCAGTGTCAGACATCCATCTGCTGTAAGCTCTGTCTCTTGGCTGGTAGTTTTCAGTCCCTCTTGGTTCTTGGTCCTTTCCCTCTCTCGGGGGAGGCAATGCCCCCCCCCTTCTTCAGCCTACTTTCACTTTCCCACAGTGTGTATCTGTAACTTGGGTTTCTCATCTTGCAGAGAAGAAATCAGATTCCTTTATTTCCCATGCCCTCCTTTCCTCCTCTTCCTTTTTCTCCTCTTCCGTTTTCCCTTTCCTTATTTTTCCTGCATTATTCCCTCCACCCACCCCCCCCACCCCCACCAGCCTGTGCGGTTGTTACCACTCACCGTGAACTAACATGCCCCCTGGTGTTTGCATGCAGTCATTGCATCCAGCAGATCCTGGAGGCTGTTCTCCATTGCCACCAAATGGGGGTCGTCCACAGAGACCTCAAGGTGAGTTTTCTTCCCCACTGCTCTGTCCGTCTGTCCGTCTTTGTATCTTTGCATGTTTTTTTTAACTTCCGTAAAAAAGAAGTTGGATCACTTCTGAATGGTTCAGACTAAATTTTCTGGAGAAAAAAACATGTTCCAGGGTACTTAGATAGTTGTGCAATTTGTTTGTTGGATTTATTAGGTCATCCCTCTGACAGACTAATCAGAAATCAGCTTAATGTTTTGCTGTGATCTAGCCTGGCTTGGACAAATAGGGGAGATCTACTGCCTGACGAACCTTAACATTCCAAGCACTGGGTGAAACCATTGCTCTTTGAGTTCCCTCTAGAGAGGGTTAGAATAATCCTGCTGGGTCAGACCAAAAAAAGCTGTCAAGCCCAGTATTCCATTCCTTTAGAGGTCATCTGGAAATTCATGAGCAGGAGCTCAGCATAACAGGATTGTAGGCTTTGAAGAAGACCCAGCTATGCTGACTTTATACTTCGTGATAAGCTGGTTTGTTTTGCCTAGAGAGAAGGGATCTAGGGTCTTCGTGTTGCCCCACAGCATCCTTACATCAAACTGCTGATTTGGGTTGCATTGTTTTCCATCTCTTTTGCCTCTGAAAATTGCAGAATTGTTTGCTTTACAACTTGCCTTCTCCCCCCTCCCCTCCATCCCAGTGCATGCAGGTATGCACCCAGATATGCACCCACCCTCTTTCCCATGCAACATGCGTTCTATTACCATCCCATGTAACATGCATTCTAGAGAGATAAGAGTCCAGATTAAAAAGAAAGAAAGATACCTAAACTCAGAATAAACCAGGAAACCATAGCAAAGTATGCTCCCATATTTGCTACCATTACCTGTAAATCAAGAACATAATAATTTGCCGCCATGAGCAAAAGTAAGGCCCAAATAATCTGGATTCTACATGTTAAAGAGACAATGGATTCCAGTCTTACTTTACCAAGCTGCAGAGATATAATTGAATGCCAAGTTGTTTTGTTCTGAGTTTTGCAGAACTAAGAGTTTATTAGCTTTTAGGAAGAATTAGTTGCAACCATTTCCCTTCAGTGATCAATCACCAGACTGCATCTTTCATTGAAATTCAGAGGTCAAATAGAGCATGCTTGAAGAAGGATGTTTAGTAGGAATTCATGCTAAGGTAGCAGCAGTGCTATATAACAGAATAAGAGAGTTGGAAAGAACCTTGGAGGTCATCTAGTCCAGCCCTCGGCTTAAGCAGGAGACCTTATACCATTTCAGACAAATGGTCTCCAGTCTCTTCTTAAAAACCTCCAGTAGTGATGGAGCATTCCCAACTTCTGGAGGTAAGTCATTCCACTGATTAATTGTTCTCACTGTCAGGAAATTTCTCTTTCCTGACTTGTAAACCAACTCCTGACTTTCCTGACCTATTGAGTTTCAAAATAATCCAAATTGCTTGTTTCTGTCTCAATCCTTTCCTGTTCCACATACATCCATGTCCACTGTATATCCAGGATACCTAAATTCTGGAGATTGTATGATTTCACACAACCAATAGATTGTATAAGTGCAGTTTAAATTGCCCAGCAGATTTCTTTAGACCACTTGGGTGAGTCTTGGAATGTGAAAGACCTCAGAGGTCCTTGCTCACTTCCTATGTTCTTGGCCATGTTGGAACAAAACTACTCTTTGCTATCACTGCCTTGTTCCAAGTTAGAACTTCAAAAGACAGTCCCCAGTGAGTCCTGGACTGCAAAAAGTTTTCTTAATAGGAGAGATTCCATACTCATCTCCTAACGCAGCGGAGACCTTCCAGTTCTATCCATCCATCCTGTCATCTCTCCTGTAATTGTATACCTTCCCCCTTCCCCAGCATTGCCAAAACTTTTTGGGGCTCCATGTAAGAAAGGTTTCTTTTCCACATGCTTATATGATGTTTTTGGTCCTTGCACCTTAATGCAGTTTGGTGGATTTGAGCTGATTTCTGGGTAGCTGTTGGAGGACCAACCAGGGAATCCATGGGGTAGAACCTAGGAACAGCCAAATCCCAATATTTTCAGCAAACTTAAACTGTCATTTGGTCCCCCAACTTACTTACTCCTTGCCTTCTTCCACTTTCCTTTAGCCATTCATTTTCCCACCCTTTCCAACTTGTTTTCTTCCTGTGCTTTGGTGTCTGGGTCAAGACTTTAACTCAAACAGTGATGTTTGTAGACAGAGCAGCTGTAATCTCTCTTCTAGAAGTGTGCATGCACTTTATGTCTGGTTTAAATGTGTGCAAATTATTTATTTCTGTCAGTTTTCCTGTATTGGGTTTCTGATTGTGATACATTCCCTGTTCTGCCTCTTTATAACACTCCTTTGGGTTGAGATGTTACTGGGGTATTATAAAGAGATTGTATTTGACAAGTTTAATGGGTGGTTAACGTTCAGCAATGTCTGGGTGTGTTGTAGTGGCAATAAAGGAGGGGAATCTTGACAAGACCCCCCTCTTTGTCTCTGTGTCTTGGGAATTTCTTTTTGAAAAGTTCTGTGTCTGTATCTGTTGGTCTTTTATTAAAAAAAAAAGATCTGGGCTACCCCTCTCATTCCACTTCTGTGGTTATTATTTCTTGTTAGGCTTTGGAACAGGAATTTGACCAGAGGTTAAACCCTTTAAGATTAAAAAAAAGAAAAGAAAAAGAAATAAACAAAGAAACCTGGCAAAAACTGCTTAACAACTTTAACTTTCTGTTCAACATAAGCAGGGATCAATTGTTTGGGGTGTCAAGCTAATTGGAGGGTTCATTTCTGGAGTCAAGCAAAGCATCCGTGCCTGAAAATTATTTGGTTTATTTGGACAGCTGGCTTGGCTTGCAGAGTGGAATTGCCTTCACAAATGCCTAATGAAGTTTTTGCATAAACCTACCTAAACTCTTTAACAGGCAAGATGTGCAAAAATATCTCCAGAGCCTTGGACAATGTTATTTAAGTAGAAAAAAACCTTTGCTTTCCATTCCATGGTTGAAAAGTTTTAGCTTCTGCCAAAGATTTGCCTCTGGTAACATGGTTTGGTATGGCAGAGCTTGTGGTTCTTCGTGGTTGCTAAAAGAAAACCAAAAGAAAAAGAAAGCGATGAAATGTGATTTCACATGCATGGGATAACATACAGGTATTCCCTTTGCTTTCTAAATGGAGTTGTGCAATTTTAAACCAGCTTCTATTATTCCAAGGATAGGGCTTTTGTGTGTGCAGTTTTGGGATAATACAGCACCCATGATAATCTATCTATGGTAATCTGTAAGAGTGCACAGGTAGTCCTTGCTTACTGATTGTCTTTGAGTGACTGTAGGAGGATACGAAACTTGGAAAGAAAATAGCTTTGTGACCAATTGTTGCATTTACAAGTGTCACAGTTTCCCTCAGTCACACAATCACCATTTGCAAGTTTCACAACTGGCTTCCAATAAGCAGAATTAATGGAGAAAGCAGAAGTGACATCACAAGTCACATGATGTTTCGCTTAATGGCCATGGTGATTCACTTAACAATGGAAGCAGAAGTGGCATTGTAAGGTCATGGTGGTCATGTGTTTTTTTCCCCTTAGTGACCACAATGCTTAATGATGGAGTTGCCAGTCCTAATTGTAGTCAGTAAGTGAGGACTACCTGTAGTGATGAGAGAAGTTTCTGCATTAATAACTCACACTTATATACTCATACTCATACAAAAGGATATCCATTTAGCACATCTATTAATATATTTGATATTTACAACTAAACAAATTTGATGCATATTTTGTTAGTTATGTAAATCAAAGATAAAGTATAAATGAAAATACTCATGTGGCATTACTTTATGCAGATGTATGAGGAAATGCAGCCTAAATGATTTAATTCTAAATTTAGTATTTCCAGAAGACCAGCTAACATCGAAGGGACTAAATTTAGTCACAGTTTTTTCATTTCCTTCAGTTTGTTCTAAGAATAACTCAATCTGGAACCGACCCATTATCTCCTAATATCCAGTGTTTATAATAACTGGGTGCTTTGAAAAATTAGTTGGGGCAAGGCAGACTTTCTTCACTGTCTTTTTGAAAAATAAGTCCATTTTGAAAGGGGATGTTTTTAAACAAATATATTTTTTAAATTTTCAAGCTCAGAATTAAAATATAAAACACTTTGCACTTATGATCATGTGAAGTGTTAATAACACTTTGTAATGCCTTGGTAAGACCATACTTGGAATGCTGTTTTTGTCGCCATGATAAAAAAAAAAAGATGATGAGACTGTAGAAAACGAGAAGAGCAATAAAGATGATTAAGGACTGGAGGCTAAAACATACGAAGAACGGTTGCTGGAATTGGGTATGTCTAATTTAATGAAAAGAAGGACTGGGGAGACACACTAGCAGTATTCCAATATCTGAGGGGTTGCCACAAGAAGAAGGGGGTCAACCTCTTCTGCAAAGCATCTGAAGGCAGGACGACAAGCAACGGATGGAAACGAATGGATGGAAACTAATCAAAGAGAAAAACAATGTACTTCTAAGGAGAAATACATAGAACAATTAATCAGTGGAACGACTTGCCTCCAGAAGTTGTGGGTGCTCCATCACTGGAGGTCTTTCAGATGCAATTGGACAACCATTTGTCTGAAATGATATAGGGTTCCCTATCTGAGCAAGGGGGTTGGTCCCTATCCACTCTGTTATTCATATATGAGCACAGCTACTCTGCCACCCAGTGGAGTGAGATGGGCCTAGTGACATGGGTGCCAAATGAATTTAATAAATATATAAAATTAGACAGTTTTTTGAGTTCATTAAAGAGGAATAGTAAAGAAAATAGATGTGGTGAATATCATGGAGGATCTCAGCCTATAGATTAAAGCAGTTTTCCACTATGATTCTATAGAAGTTTGCACAAAGGCTTAACTAAACTGGGTGAGCTTATACACTGTCAGAGTCATTAACATGGTAATCTTAGTGGATTATATGTTCTACAGATTTAATTAGTTTAACCACATTGTGCCAAAAAGGATTTTTG